TATGTATACGTATGTATACGTATGTATATGTATGTATATGTATGTATATGTATGTATATGTATGTAGATGTCTGTATATGTATGTATATGTATGTATATGTATGTATATGTATGTATGTGTGTATGCATGCAAGTATGCGTGTATGTATGTATGTATGTATGTATGTATGTATGTATGTTTGTATGTATGTACGTACGTATGTACGTGTATGCGTATGTACCTATGTATGTATGTGTGTATGTATGTATGTATGTACGTACGTACGTACGTACGTATGTATGTATGTATGTATGTACGTATGTATGTATGTATGTATGTATGTACATCTGTCTGTCTGTCTGTATGGATGGATGGATGTATGGATGTATTTATGTGTGTCTCCTAGTTATCGGTCTGGTAGGCAGAGATTAGGAGGTCGGTTTACAGATCGTAAGAACAGCCTCGATCTGATTTCGATCGTTGGCATCGGGAAAGATTAGATCCTTGACCAGCAATGTCGTTTCCTGCAGCCGGCCCCAATCGCGGCCCAGAAGCCGAAGCTTAGCCGACCAGCCGAAGACTCCCCAGTTCGGGCTGCCCAGGAGACCAATGGATGCATATGTGCATATGTATATGTATATACATATGTGTATATATGTATGTATATGTATATGTATATGTATATGTATATGTATATGTATATGTATATGTATATACATATGTGTATATGTATATGTATATGTATATGTATATGTATATGTATATGTATATGTATATACGTATGTATATGTGTATGTATGTATATGTGTATGTATTTATGTATGCATGTATGCATGCATGCATGCACGGATGTAGGCAGGTAGGCAGGCAGGTAGGTAGGTAGGTAGGTATATATGTATGTATTTATATGTAGGTATAACTGCTCTCTCTCTCTATATATATATATATACACATACATGAGATTGACAGTTGCATTATGTCCTCCTGTCAACTGCAGGTGGTGCTGATGACTGGATAAACCAGGCTTTGCCAACACCGGCCTTAGATGAGCTGCATGATTTTCATGATGCCTATCCTGCTCGAGGCTTTCGTTGAATTTGGATGCATTCTGTTCGACCCAGAAACATACTGCATGTAAGCAAAAAGGCCCGGTCTGCGTATGTTCATCGAGGCCAGTTAGTCAGAGCCAGACACATTGCTGGCAGGGGGCAGCTCGAGTAGGAAAAGCATTCTTGTAGACGTGTTTGGCAGCTCGGTAGTTAGCGTCTACAAAGGGAGATGCAAGCGGAACATGTAAGCAACCTCGGCTTGCAACTGTTTAAGCCACCATGCTGTGGGAAACAAAAGCTTCGCGCTTGGTTTGGACACGGAAATCAGTGCACTCCCACACGGCCATCTCGAAATTCCCATGTTGAGTGGGCAGTTGGAGAGTTTCCCCATCGGAAGAAATCTTCCCAGCATCAGTGGACCGTTACCTTACAAGTGCCTCTCTGAATGAGAGCAGGATGTTTATGGCCCAGCGCAGGAGTCTGAGTGGACGCGGTGGTAAAAGCAGGCAGTGTGTGCTATGATGCGGTAGTTGCCGGGAGCTGGGGAAGATTCTAGAGCCCAGAGCTTCTATTCCGCCTGGAAGACAGGGATGGTTGCTAGCAGGAAGCATCTTCGTTTGCCTTGAACATACACAGGGCGACAATGCTTTGACTGCCACTCTCTGGCTCGGTTCTGGCAGGAGGATCGGAGTAGACAGTCAGATATCCGTTTTT